AGGGGGAAGGGTGGTAGGGGCGGGATTGGGAGATAGGGGACAGGAGTTGAGGGAGGGGCTGAAGCTTCGAGAAAAGGAGGTGGCAGAATGGCTGCACGTTGTCTGCTGGGGCAGCCACTTGTGTGTGCGTGGTTCTTCCTGACACCCCTGGCTTTCTACTCTGGTTGATCCCCTTGGGTTCCCAGGGCAGAGAAAGAGTGGGGTGATGGGATCCGAGGCCTGTCCCTCAGCGCTGCACGCTACGCCCTCTTACGCCTGGAGGAAGGGCCCCCACATACCAAGAACTGGAGGTAAGTGGCCAGGAGCACGTGGGAGGGCCCAGGGGAAGGACAGGAGGGGAGCAGGGCCTGACTCTCCCTCACCTGTTTTGTTTGCTGGGTGGTGTTCCCGCCACAATGGTGTGTCCTTAATGTCTCCTCCTCTGCTCAGCCTAGTCTGAACCTTTCCCACCTGCGGTACCCGGGGTCAGGCTGAGCAACCATCCATTCATCCCCCCGTTCACCTCATCATGTGTTTAAAAACACGTGTGAATGCATGATCTGTGCCGGGCCCCTTTCCAGTCTCGGGGGACCTAGAGAGTGAATAGTTCCACGGAGCAGGCACACACGGAGACAGATAAACGTAATATCGTGTAGCATTTGCTCTGGGAAAGGTGGACCCATTCACTTTGAGAGTTATAGGGGGCTTCTAGAAATTTCTAGATTGAGAACAATCCCTCCACTTTATTCGTGTGAACATCAGGGACCAGAGAAGGTCTCAGAGGCCACGGAAGGCAGAACCGGAAGCAGAATCTTTACCTCCACCTCTCAGCCCCGCCTGCTTTCTAGCTGATTGCTCTGCAAGCCCAGCCCTTGCTCACCTCCCTCAGGTCACTTTGCCGAGAGGAAGGCCTGAACTCTGAGCTCTGACTAGGACACTGTTGGCTTGCACTTGCTGATGTCTACTAAACTGTGTCTTCCAGAGACCAGGGCTTTGCGTTGTTTGTGAATTCTTAAATGCTTGCCACAGGGTCTAGCCCAGAGTGCTCAGAGAATGCTCTTAAACTGATGGTTGGTTGGATGGATGGGATGGCCAAATGAAAAAGGAAGTGAATGGATAAACAGATGAGTAGATGGCTAAGTGTATATATATATGGGAGGGTGATTGGTGAATAGATGAACGTGTAATGGTTGGTGGCAGGTGGATGTTAGATAACTAGGTGAATAATGCATATGTAGGTAAATTAATATGGGTGTGAGTGGGTGGCTGAAGGATAAAATGGGTGGGTGGGTGACTGGGTGGATGGATGAGTGAGGTGGACAGCGAGATGGGTAAGTGGGTGGGGGTATAGAGGACGGATGGCTAGTAAGCTCACCAGTGTTTTGGTGTGTGGGGGCGTGGCGTATGGTGGGTAGAAGTTGGGTGGGTGTTGAATGGATCTTGAATCCTTTTCAGGCCACAGCTGCTGGTGCTGGTGCGCGTGGACCAAGACCAGAATGTGGTACATCCACAGCTGCTCTCACTGACCTCCCAGCTCAAGGCAGGGAAGGGCCTGACCATTGTGGGCTCTGTCCTTGAGGGCACCTTTCTGGACAACCATCCCCAGGCCCAGCGGGCAGAGGAGGTGAGAGGAGTCCCTGGTGGGAAGGGGGCAAGGACAAGTCCCTTGACTTGACCCTTTACACTTTGCCTTCTTACCTCCTTTGGGGTCAAAGGTGGCTCATGCTTTTCTTTCTTCTTTCTTAGAAGAGGAATCTAAGGACTCAGCGAGTGAGTTCCTTAGAATCCAATTGTCAGAACCAAAGACCTTCAGAGCCAAAAGGGCCCCACTTTATGGATAGGGAAACTGAGGCTTAGAGAAGTCAGGTCATTTGTCTAAGGACAGAAAACAGACTCAAATTAGGACTGCGTGACTCCTACTCCAGGCTTCTCCCTGCCAACGTATAAATCTTTCAAAGTGTTTTCACATCTATGATTCTTTCGACCCTCACGCCGCATGAAGTTGGCAGTGTGAGCATCCACATTTAGTACAAGGGGAAACAGGCCCAGAGAGGGAAGACAGCTTGCTGAAAGTCACAGAGCTGGCTGGGAGCACAGGCAGAATTTGAGCCTGGGTCCCTGGCTCTGGGTCACCTGCTTCTAAGAGCACCGGTCTGTGCTCTTAGTGTACAGGGCCAGCGTGGGCAGGGGCGGCTGGCTTCTGTGTTATGGGGCACTAACACGTGTCTGGAACCTGGTGGGTAGCTGAGCAGGTGGGTTCTGTCTTCGATCCAGGCTTCTCTCCCCTGGGGGCTGTGACTAGTTGTGGAGAAAGGAAAGGGGGCCGGAGGGGGGAGAGGAGAGATGGGGAGGAGTACCCCTAATGGCTTGTGACAGTTGCTGTTTCTGCCTCACTGGGCCGTTCACACCAATCTGTCAGGGCCCAGGGCTGGAGGCCTCCACTGGTCAACTTCCTTCAATATGGAGTGGGTGAGAAGGTGCTGCGAACCACACAGCGGGCTGGGCCTGGGGAGATGGGGGGTGGATAAGACCAGATCCCAGGCCTCAAGGTGCTCACAGGCTAGTGGGAAGATAGAACGTACCCAGAAGGCTCTCAAGCCTTCCTGCTGTTGGTAGATGCTTCACTAGGGTTCATATCATCAGAATAATAGAATGTGTTGCGTGCTTCCAATCTGTCAAGCAGCAGGCTACCTTACCCACATCATGTCCTGTAATTCTGCCCGTTCCTCAATGAGGTAGCTGCCATTCCCATTTGACGGATGGGCAAACTGAGGCTCACAGAGGTTAAGCGATTTGCCTAAGGTCACACAGCCAGGAGGTGCCCGAGGTAGGAGTTGAAGCCCTCTCTGCTTGACATCGGGGTAGGGGTTTAGAGTGTGGGGGATGGTGTCAGAGCCCTGGAGTTGAACCCCTACAATAACATACCCATTAGCTGGGTGGCCTTAAGGAAGGCTTAATTTCTCCGAACCTCAATTGCCTCATCTATAACATAAGACTAATAAGAACCCTACCTTCATAGTGCAGGTTGAGTGTGCATTGAAAATGCTTATCATTATGCTAACTTTTAAAAGTTGTTAAAAACAAATCGTCGGGGCATGCACAGCAGCCCAGTTCTGTTCTGGTCTGGGTGGGGGGTGGTTTCTGAGAAGGTGACATTTGAGTTGGGCCAGCAGGGTGTAATATGCAATGGGGGGAGGGTCCCGGTGGGGGTGGAGGGCTTGCCAGCGAAGGCAGGGTGCGGGAAGTGTGGGCTAAGGTCACAGACAGCTTTGCCGGATCCACAAGGAATGGGGCTGGCTATAGGTGATGGGGAGCCATGCACGATTCTGGTGCCAGAGGCTGACGTGATCGGAGCTGAACTTCGAGAAGATGGGGACAGTGAAGGGGAGAGACAGCCGGAAGGGAGGCCTGAGGCTCGTCCTTGTCTGACACGCCCCTCCCCCCATCTCCCAGTCCATCCGGCGCCTGATGGAGGCAGAGAAGGTGAAAGGCTTCTGCCAGGTAGTGATTTCCTCCAACCTGCGTGACGGCGTGTCACATCTGATCCAGTCCGGGGGCCTCGGGGGGCTGCAGCACAACACCGTGCTGGTTGGCTGGCCCCGCAACTGGCGGCAGAAGGAAGATCATCAGACATGGAGGAACTTCATTGGTAACACTGGGTGGGCCGGGGACAGTGGTGGGCGGTGGGCTCTCCCTCTTGGGCCCGGGGGCTCTTTCCCGGGTGTTGTACATGCGGGGGGTCGGTGCTCAGAGCTGGCCATGTGCCAGCCGCTGAGGACTCAGGTGTGAGGGAGATAGTCTTGGGCCCTGCAGAGCTGACTCAGCCCCGAGAGAGAGAGTCAGTGGAAGGCAGCCGAAAGAGCTACAGCTGCGAAGTCAGAGAGGCCTGGGTCTCAATCTCACCTCTGGCCCTTCCTAGCTGTGTGATCGTTCACAAGTGACTCACCCTCTCTGGGCACTAGACGCCTTGGTAGTAATATAATAGCGGACATGTATGGACTGTGTTCTGTCTGCCAGGCAAGTTGAGCCTCTCTCTAAGCCTCTTATCCTCTCAGCGGTCCCGTGTGGGCTGGCGAGGCAGTGTCATCTCCCCTTTACTGGTGTGAAACGGAGGCCCAGGCCCGGAGAGATGGAGGAATTTGCTCCAGATCACACAGCTGGGCGCCTAGAGGCTGCCCTGTTGACTCCAGGCTATTCTGACTCCTTTCCGGGTGGATCATAGTTAAAGGCAGTTGAGAGGATAAACCAGGCCGTGCACGGAAGGGCTCCTGATAGGAAGGGCAGGTGGTCTCATTGCCACTTGACAGGTGGGGAAACTGAGGCCCAGCAAGGTCGAGAGGCTTTCCCCAAACAAAACAACAATTCAGTGATGAGACCTACGTAGATGCTGGTTTTCTGACTACTCAGGCCAAGGCCGGGGCCGGGTGGGGTGGGGTGGGGGGGTGCTGGGTGCCAGGAGCCTTGGTGCAGGAAGGGACCGGGGTCGCTCTTCTCCCCTCTGGCCCTCTCCTTGGCCTTCCCCAGAGCTGGTCCGGGAAACCACAGCTGGTCACCTGGCCCTACTGGTCACCAAGAACGTTTCCATGTTCCCTGGGAACCCTGAGCGCTTCTCCGAGGGCAGCATCGACGTCTGGTGGATTGTGCATGACGGAGGCATGCTCATGTTGCTGCCTTTCCTGCTGCGACACCACAAGGTGAGCGAGCATGGCTCTGCGTGGCTCGTGGGCTCTGGCCAGGGCCAGCCTCCACGTGAGCCCCTCCCCGGGAGCTCCTGGAAGAGGGGGGCTGATCGCCTCCCTTCCCCTGAGATGTTAGGACCTGAGTGTGTCTCCTCTGGCGGGTGTCCTTGCCTTGTAAAGGAGAGCGCTGCTTCACCCTTGCAAGCGATACTTTAATGGGGACTCTTACCTAAGCGGGGGAGGGGGGTGGTTTGTAGGGAGTGGCCTCCCAGGTAGAGGATTTTGGGTCTGTGTGTGTGTGTGTGTGTGTGTGTGTGTGTGTGT